TCTCGCAGTTATGATCTAAGCATTTTTCCGCTCCGCAACGATGCACTGTACACATGCATGCCACGTAAAATGCGCTTATTAGCGCGACATATGCTCCTGACGCTGCACCGAACACCAAGCAGTTGTTATCCTATATTTTATGTCCCACGAAAAGAATTTCAACAAAGTCGTTTAATGAGCAAAGCCATAAATTTTTATTTCCTGTCTCGTTATGCGCACCCACCAATTCTATCCAATTCTATTTTTGGACGCACAACCACAAAAATATTGTAAATGTGTTTGTGTGTATTTAACTTTGACGCATTTTCGTGTATCCTTTTCGACCGGCGATCAGCTCTTCAACCACATTCGACTCAGCACTCAGCTGTATCCTGCGGTTTTCGTCCACAATCGGCGCGCTCGCCACAAAACAATTGTTGATCCTCATTTTCGCTTTGTAATGCAGACCACCTAGCCCTCAGCCGCTTATATGGAAATCGTTCAGCGTTTTGTCTGTCGTTCCCACCTCTGGATTTAGCCCGTTTAATCCCTGTTTTGTTGTCATCTGTTTGCACACAAATACTTATGTAGTTGGGCTGTGCGTCCTTTATGGTCGCTTAAATTCCTTTCTTGGCTAATAGTCCTGAGCGCATTGTCTACTTAGCATATGCCAACCTGTCAGTATTTGCTTGTGAGATAATTTCTATGTCCTTTCAGTGACTTTGCTTTTGATTTTTTGTTAACAATATCCGGCCATTTGAGCCGCTGACATTTGTGTGCAATCGCTGATTAGCGCAAGTGATCGTTGATATTTTCTTTGATTATTCGGTTGGGACATACTATAAAACAGTAGTACGGAGGAAATGCAACCTTGAAACACTTCTCACGGCAATAAATGTTAAACAAAAAACGGCTAGGAAGATAACCGTCAAGAGTTCGAAATTCTCTTTTAACTTATTGGGACCTTAATCGTATAGTATACCAGACAAAAAGTTAAGAATATAGTCGTACAGAATTCAAAGAACAATTTGTGGTTAGCTAAAACGATGGATCTATCGCAAAATCAACAATCCTACCAGTCTGGCTGGTATTATAGAGATAATCAGCAAATAGCTGGTCGAATCTTTCAGCATACTCGCGGTATCTGTCGAAGAACTATCCCACTATGCAAGAGATGTAAACCTTCCCTGCAGTAGAGAAGGATTTATATGCGAAGATTTTATGTTTCCTGAAATTTTGAAAAGTTACTTTGTGAGTACAGGGGCTTAATCGTAGCAGAAATCGGATTTTCCCTAATCCGAGTGAATGTTTCTAAAAAAAACATCTGCCATATTTCAATACAAGGTGTTCTGCTACTCTCGCAGCCAATGGTTGATTTGCGGTGGGAATGTAAATTAAGCTCTATTACAAAGTAGTCCTCCCATTACCGCGTTGGCTGGACACGTAAGGGTGGCCGGAGCGATTTATAGCAATTTTAGAACTAACAGGTGAAAGTTAAGTGCCAACAGTCCTAAGAAACAGAATTGGATCTTTTAAACCAAGTGAAATTTTGGATGCATTTGGGATCATAAAAGGTTCTCTTATAAGTAAGTCCGTTGATTGGAGTTTCCGGTTGAGAGGGTGTCCAAAAACCAAAATTGCCTCTTAGAAAAAGACGGTGAATGCATTGGACGCCGTTGGGAAGTTGCTACCAACGAAAACTACAAAAAAATGCACAAAATAATTTTGGATAATCGTAAAATGTAGTCGTTCAATATGTAGCAATGGAGAAACCATGGCTCCAGATTTTTACTCCGAAGTCGAACCGTTAGTCATCTTGGTGTCTGTATTTTGGAATACGCATCGAATAATTTTTATTTCCTACCTTCAAAAAGAAAGGACCATCAAAAGCGACTATTACATAGCGTTATTGGACCGTTTAGAGGACGAAATAGCCCTAAAGCGGTAGCATTTGGGGAAAAAGAAAGTGGCAAAAACCCACGAATTGGGCGTCGAATTACTTTCGCATCCAACTTATTCTTCAGATCTGGCCTTCAGTGACTACTTTCTTTCTTGAGATCTCAAAAGAATACTCCTTGGGAAAAAATGTTCGTTAAATGAAGAAGTTTCGCCAAAACTGAGTCTCATTTTTAAACAAAGGACAAATCGTGATACAAAAATATTATAGAAAAGTTGGAGTGTTGCTATAATCAGTGTATCAGCCTTTAAGGGAACTATGTTGGATATAAAAAGGATTTTTGCCAAAAACTGTTACTATGGTAGGTCGCGGACCTTGACTTTTCAATTGGGCTGTTATCTATTCCTCTTTCTCTTTCCCGCTCTCTATCTCTCTTCCTCTCTCTGTTCAGTATTCTACATAGAAACTCAAAGCTCTACAAAAGCTTTCTCGCTCTCTGTCTCTCTCTATTCTGTATGCTATTTGAAACTTTCTAAAGCTCTACAAAAGCCTAATAAACAACTTCTCATATCAATAACTTTATACAATCATACTTGCCTTGAATGCGAAAAATTTATTTATATTTTTTTTTAATATTTTGAAAAATTTATTACTCACCTTCGCAACGCCGTCACGGTCTTACTTGCTGTTGTACTCACTTATCCACCATATATTTAGGTGCAAACAAGCACATGTAGCTGTTTTAATTTCATTAATTTTTATTTGTAAGCAATTTATGATTATTTGTATATCGAATGCCAATCGCTGACTTTTAATAACTGCAATCAAATTTACGCTACCAACCTACCTGTAATGGCTGGGCAAAGCGGACGCTGATCCTTTTGCGACTCTTTCGCCGCCGACTGCCGGTGCGCTGGGGTTTTTGTTGCTGGAAAATGTGCGTGAATGTTTGCTGACAGCCAAAGGCGTTGTTGGTTTTAACTTTTGCCTTTACTTTTGACTGTTTTATTATATGATGCTGTATTCCTTTTTTTAATTTCGAAACGCAACATTTCGACAATAATTTATTTGAGACTCATTGATGCGCTCGAAAAGATACACCGAAAACCACTATACCGGTCAGGGTACAGCATGGACTCACGATTTTTTTCTTTGCTTCGTGTTTTTTTTTTTTTAGTTTTTCGGTCAAAATATGGCATTCGAAATACACAAAAAGAACAGCAAGCACAGCGCAATGAAATGTTTCAGCTTGATTTGTTGGTTGGCTGCGTAGTTTTCGGTCCAAATCTCTTTAAACTGGCCCAAAGGAGGCGCAGAAGCAGTGATGTGACGTTGCATGCGTGTTGAAGAGCAAAAAAGGTGCATGAAAATAAATTTATAACCACATTCTTGTGTATGCACGTCCATTTGATTTCTTCAGACTCATTTGTTTTTATTTAATTCTTACCAAGCATTCTTTTTTACGTGGAAAAGGGGCACGCAGCGGCTAGCCGCATTAAAAAAGTGAAAAAGTGCCCAACATACCCAAATAAATGTGCGTATATTTTTCTTCAACTGCAACTGCCAGCGCGTCTGCGTGCCTTACACTAACTCACGCACTTACTCACCGTTGTAATTTATTTGATTCGAGGCACTTAATTGATCTGGTGTTGCTGATGTTGATTTTAGTGTTACGACGAAAGTCAAAAATTGTATTTCGTTGTACTTCTCGGTATCATTCTGCATATCGCAGTGCTTCTCTTTTTCACTCTCTTCTGCCACATTATTAAGTATAAGCAAATAGTTTATTATAGCTTTGTAACGGTGTTTAAGTTTTATATGCGATAGGTACGGTGATAAAGCGGTAAGAAATAAGTATTAAGTACGTTTATCGCTTTTGGCGGATTACGAACACACTAATTGTAGTATTAAACCATATGTGATGCAAATATATCGACATGGCCCAGCTATGTACATACATATATACACTGAACTACTCTCAAATTTTTATTGTTTTATTGTTGTTTGTAAAAGTTGAAGCACAAAATAACATTGTAAACAAACTTAAGTCTTGAGGGGCATAAATCTTTTGCCTTACTTTTTTATTGTTTCTTTTTTCGATCGAACGGAAACTCCGCAGTTCTTGCCTTTCTTTTGATTGATGTTAATATCATTTGATGTTTTACTTGGCTACTGTTTTATTGGTTTTAGGCTTTCCATAGTGTTTTTGAGTTTTAGAAAATTTTATCTGCTATCTTCACTTAGCAAGTAATAAATGTGCAGCGGATAGCTCTTCAAGCTATAAAATTAAAACTGCTTTAACGGAAGTATTATTATTATTATATGTGAGAGCATAGCAAGAGTGCTTAGATGAAATCGCTGAAAGCAAAAATTTCGGTTTGAAAGAGATAAATTTACCACAATGAGACGCTATGAACGAATAATAGAATGCTTAGGAGAGCTATTTCTTGTCTCGAAAATACGAATATTTGCCTTGCAGAGCTCAATTTCGATTAAACACCTTAAGAAAATAGAAAGAAGGATTCAAGGCTGGGTAACAATCACAACCAAACTTAGATAAAGATGTTGAATAAACCATAAAAATATTCAAGTTTCGTAGGGCTTTATTCTACAAACGGTAGAACCAAAAAACGAGTATGTAACTAGAGAACTGCTATCGAAACAGACTCAAGGCAAATCGCGACAATCCCTTAACTGGATAAATTTTAAGCTATTTTCTGTTTTCGATTTTCAGCCTTTATTTTATATAAAAAAAAATATCTAAAAATCCAAAAAACGTAAAAAAATTTACCCTGGGACTATAGAAAATTCACTGTAACCCAGTGTGACCGGACCGAATATAAAGAATGCTTTTGTTCCAGATGATTTCTAAACGAAAACTCTTGAAATTGAAATTTTAGAGATACATTTTCAAACATGCTGGCTGCAAGACATTTAAACCCCATCTTTATTGTAAAAAATAGTTCATCAATTAAAAATTTCTTCGGTCAGTAGACTAACCTCAATATATATGGTACATATGTCGAGATTCAAAAACATACAGTTGGTGCTTAAGTCTAGATAGAAGAATGCCATCGTATGACTCATATACATATAAATGAAGACAATGTCGTCGATGTTCTTGTTGTTAATGTTGTTGTAGCGGCAAAATCGATCGATCGCTTGATATTTAGTCTCAAAATTGGTTAATCTTGCTTGAGTGACGGGCCTCCTAATGCCCTGGGTGCGTCGTCAGATGGCCACTCTACCTATCTACTTCTTTCCTTAGTAAGTTTACTAGTTTGTCTTGAAAATTCTTTTGCTCTCTGCTTTGTTAGTCCATTGTTCTGAAAATGATTACTTTTGTAGCCAGGAATTAATTTTGGTCCAAACACTAGACCATTAAAAATCAAGTGGATCAGTTTGAATCTTCAACATAATTATAACTGCCACAATCCATGCTTTGAGGGCCAGATCTTCTTTTATGCAAACAGGGGCAAATTTATGATGCGCAAGATTCTTTTTACATTCCTTACAATGCAACGCGATTCCCAGATGGCATATAGTACAGGTTCTATTTTCGGATAGCGACGTTTTATTTTCTATCCGTTCCATGTGTATTACGGCGCGTTTACAACTAAGAACTCAGATCTAATCCTTTGGAAAAACTATCATGTCTTTCCAATACTAATGTCAACAAAGTATCAAACTGATATTTCTTATGGGAACCTAACTGAAACCTTTCAAGCTACTTGCATGCAATGACGCCAAAGCAGCTCAAACATACATACATATAAGTACGTTGAACCGGCACCAAAGGCGGCTTCGCACTAATCCAATTTCCCGCCAGTAGCCCGCAAATGTCAATCAAAATTACCTGCATTTATACTGATACACATCTACCAATTATTAATCAAATTTCATGTTGCGACACAATGAATTAAACAATCTTGCCTATCGCCTGCCGTTGGTCGAACATAACCGATTTTTGCTACTTCAATACACTTAATCCAGCTGACAAAGAAAACAACCACAACAAATGACAATTTGCGCGCTCTAAATTAATTTGAAGACGTTCCCTTTGAAGGGCCATACAATGGGAAGACGCTGAATGGAGCATAAAAGTATAGATGAAAATCGGGAATGTGCACAGCCAATGCATTTATGCGTGTTAATGCACACTCTCTCGGTCGCACCAAAGTCACCGCCAACAAATGTCAGATCGCGTTGTTGTGGCTGTCAACTGTCAACGCCGCTAAGACACAAAAATGTCTAATCATGCGTTAGAGCATGGGTCCAAAAAAGAGCTGGCATTGAAACTGAAGCATTTGAAGCGTTTGCGTAGCAGCGAGTGGAGGACTCAAGCTGAAAGAAAAAACTGTCATTCAGAAATGGAGCGACAGTGTCAGCGCAGGAATTTTCAACGCGAATGTGGCACAAAAGGTGACGCGTTCGGATCAAAAACAACCAAAACAAATCTAAATTAAAAAGGGACCATAAGCGACCGGCGTTGAAAAGAAATGACAAGGTAAGGCGAAGCTACGCAACTAAAGGAATTCGCCGGCGAACGAGTGTGGTAAAAACAAAAACGAAAACTAAAATGATTTCTCGCTTCAGCAAGCGCTTTTTGCCAGGCTTTGTATTCAAATAATTGGAAGAAACACGAAGAATACACATCGGCAACAACAGCAACTACAAGCAAAAAGTGGCAACCAAGCAAAGTGAATTCGAAAGCAGAAAGCAGGCGGGTGAGCAGACAATTGCGGTCTGATCTTTACGTGTGAGTGCATGTGTTGCGTGTGTTTGCATCATAATTGGATTGGTTATTTCTTGCAGAGGATCAATCTCAACACAAACAAAAACAAAAAAATGATTAGACGTAGCAAAGAAAGTAAGGGCAGCAATTGAGCAAGGCCCGAATGACAGTCAAGAAATGGAAAAATTAAAAAATATTAGGATATTAAAGCCCTGAACGAGCTGCCAGCAAGCGTAGGAACGCGCGTTTTGATATGTGGCAGCGACGGGTTAGGCAACTGCGTTACCCAAACCAAAATCTTGATCCTGCGTTGATTGTCGAAACCTTTCATGTGCTTGCCAACCAACACAAAAAAAAAACGAAGTATAACAGATAATCATCTGCCGAACTGTCGATTGCTACTTAAAACCTCAAGCGTTGGCTGGCTTTGGGAATTTTTCCATTTGCGGCAGTTGTTCGTTTGTTAGTTTTAAGGCTTAAAATAATTTCATTACGACTATTCATATCTAAGTATGTGTAGATTTGAAATATACAAGCATACTACAAGTATTTATGGCAGGCTCAGCTCAAGTGGAAAGGAAAGGACTTAAGTTCAAGGAAAGGTGACTGGCGTGTTACGAGCAGAGTGTTTATGGCCATGTGAGACGTCTGCAGAAGTCAACATCGAAAATTACATATAGAACGATATCAATATTTTTGGTATAATAGTTCTAAAGATCGGATTTAAGAAATACCTGTTTACAATTACACAAGGTATACGGCATATTCGTTAGCACCAAGTAGTTCCACATTCCTCTCCATTTAATGGTATGCATTTGAAAACTCCCCAGATTCTTTATATTCCACCAATGTTGTTTGCATAATTCTAATTAAAAATGAATTTAATTAAAAATCCAGCGTTCAGCTTCATTGTCAATGTCGGCCGTTTGTCTAAATGTCAACCGTATACGCGGGCAATCTGTCCTCACTTACAAATATACGTGCGCATAGCGTTGTGTACTTAGTCCATACAGCGTTTCCGTCGCGCTTCTTATCCACCGGCTTCAAATGCAGTGCACTTGTGTCTCTTCAACTCTGTCCAGCACTTAAGTAAATGTGTATGTAGCAGCAGGTCTGTGCAGTTAGCCACATTTCTAGCGCTTGTTTCGACCTCTGACCGCCGTTGTTTGTTGTTAAGTTGCCCGCTTTGTCACATCTGCTGATAACTGTCAACCTTACCTCCAACCGATATTAATTTCTGGCACTTCATTTCCATTTTATCTGTCGGCTGCACACAAACACAAAAGAACAACACAAGTAATTTGAATTAAATAAATTGGAAATGAAATAGGTAAAACAAAAAAAAAACAGAAACCAAAAAACAATAAAAAAATAGACAAAAAATTCAAATTATGCCGCCTGAGCTGCGACAGTTCTGAACACTTTGGTGTTCGACATTTGTTAGCATTTTTAATTAATCGCTTTGACGATACTTGGCGGCAAATGAGCTACTGTTTTGAGCCAATTTGATTCATTGGTAGGTGATTGCTTTTTATGGCTTTTGTTTTATTTTATTTTAGTACCTTTTTATTGTCAGCCAAGTTATGAAATATTTCGTCGACTTTTTTCTGTATTTGTTCAGTTCATTTGCGCTCTAAAATCACGAGCAGCTGCCTTCTGGTCGCACATAGTACAGGGGACTATTAATTTCTGAAATTATTATTGCTCCTCGTCGCTGTTTTCATTCACAAGTGAATATATTAAAAGCACATAAAAATTATATAATCTGACTAATTAAGTTGGTTGCTTGGTAATGTGTTCAAAAACATTGCTCATTAAAAAATTGTCAGCTAATTTTAAATATGTATTAAAAAAGATGCTTTATTTGGCTATAAACTGTGGACTATTGAAATTTTCTAAAGTATTTACGCCAGCGTGATTCTTGCAAGAGATCCGTAACCCTTTACCTGTAGGAATAGAAAAAAGTACTTGATTTCAATAAGCACAAGCAACTGTTAATCCATTCCAAAGCCGTGTCAACAAATGAAGACCTTATGGAAAGACACACCATTGGCCCTTCCTCCAAGAGACGGTGTTACGAAGACGGTAAACTTCACAAAGAAGTTTAAAGTTACTCTCGGCAGTAAGGCGAAGTACACTGACCGCTCAAAAACACCGGAAGACATTGTGGGACCGCATACCAAACGATCCATACCTATGGGATGTTTTCTGAGCACCTTTCAAGCAGAAGGCTTTGCTATAAGTCAAAAGGCAGAAATCAATCTGTAACGCAACTATCGCAACCAGCATTTCTCTATACTCAGCGATAGTCAAGCGTCAGTAAAAACGACCTCAGCTTATGAAACCAAATCGCTATTAGTGGAGGAATGTATAGGAATGCTGAACAGCCAATTAGTTTGGAGTATTTAGTAGAGATCAGTATATTGTCCTGTAAAATGAAAGTTCTTGCGCGTACGACATGATTTCATGAAAGCTCAGTGAAGCTTTCGGAGAGCTTTAACAAGCATAGTAGAGAGCTTTTTCACAAGGTAAAAACAATGTAACTACGAGACGGATATTTTAAACGAATTGGTGTATATTGTGGGCATGAATTTAATCGCGTATTCATTATTGAACCTGCTTTCAAAAAGATCTGTGTCGTTTGATAGAGGTCTAAAATCAATTTATAGATTCCCTTATATAAAGTTGAAGATGCTTAAAAGCTTGTTTGAGTTTCTGAAAGCTTTTTAAATATTTTTTTCAAATGTTTTTTTGATTTTCTGTCGCATTAAAATGAACCCGTTATTCTATAAATTCATTTATTCCATTTATTTATACCAGTTTCAGCGCTATTCTTAAGAACCATTCTGGCAGTATCGCCAGATTAGCTTCAGAGAAACCCCAATCTAAGCTAACTACCAATTGCGCCTCGCTAATCACCACAGCTGGGCATACGTGTACCATAGGGACACAGAAATCGTTGCACCAACCCAATTCAACTGTCATGTAGCCTAAAATTCCAACCTTAAGATGTCATCAGCGCTCATATGGAATTCTTCATAAGCGGCTATAGCCCAGATATCTGATGCAAGCGCACACACACATGCGCTCACAACTGCAAGTAAAATATGGTTTCCTTTAGTCGTTATATCATCAAGCATCTTCTAATAAAAGCCCTTTCGCAGCGCGTCTATGCCCACAACAGAACGCGCTAACTACGTGCCAAGCGAATACCGCCTCCGCGTACGCTGTTCAATTTCGAATTGTCGACAGTTCAGTTAGCTTTTCGGTTGCGTTGACGCTTTTCAACAACGCAACACTACAACAACAACAACATGTGATAGACAAAAAACTTTAAAGTAACGAAAAACTCATTGCCAATTCCATGCGCGTTGCAAGCGGCGCGCGGGCGTCAGACACCGCGGCTAGAAGCATTCAAACTTTTACTGGAAAAACGTAGGGCGGGAAAAACTAGCGCAAAATACGCGACGAACTGTGCGATACACAGATTAGACCATTTATGGCAATTACGCGCTTACATGAGAGCACACAGCAACAACAATAGCTATGCTTGTAACGTGAGCGCGCGCGCACACTAACTCGAGCAGAAGCCGCAGCTTGCTACGACGACGCGGCTGGGCGGCTTATCGCCACAAATGTATCGGCGACGCGTCCAAGGCGGCGGCTTGCACTGGGCCTGTTAAACGGTTTGTTACTGCCGGCCGATGCTGTGCAACCTAATGTTGCATGCAATGCACAACTTTTTCAAACTACACTTCAACGCGATTTTATGTGTTCTGCTTTTTTTTCTGTTGCCTCTGACTTTTGTGGTTACCGTATGCGGTGCTCACAATGGTGACGATGTGGTGGCGGCTGCTGCTGCCGCTAAGTGGCGGTTGAAAGCTGACTAGACGCTACCACAGCGGATGCATCTAAGGCTGAGTAGCAATATTGGGTTGGGTTGTGGCATGGCGTGGCGCGTATTCTTGGCTATTTAGCGCACTCGCATTCTGTTCTGATTACTGCCGTGTGCGACGCGTTGTATTACGTATGGCTCACAGATTTGTAGTTGCTGATCTTAATGTTGCCGCTGTGGCTGCTGTTAGTTCTAATAAAATTTTATTTCCCTTTTCCGTTGTCGGTTGCAGCAGCAGTTGAAGTACCTGGACCCGACAAGGCGGTCGCTCGGCGACAATGCTGATTTGTGTGCGCATGCGCGAGTACGCGCTCCGTTGGCGCGTTTGCTAAGAAAATTAGATTAGCATCTCATTACGTGTGTCTAAGAACTGCACACACACATATGTTTACATATGTATTGCCATATTACATATGTCGTTCGTATATGTATAGTCATTCATATGTGCGGCGAGTTCGCAAACGCACGTTGGTAACTTGAGCGCATTTTCTTTGAATGACCCAGCCGCGCCACGCCACAACGCGTCCACGTACAGCTGCCGTATTCCTGGGTGAGGTTTACGCAGCATAAAAAAGCAATAATCGCTAAGCCATCCAGCTTGCGTGCCCAGCTCACAAAGTCGGTGAGCGCTGAAGCTCATCGCATTCTGGTGATTTGAGCAAATGTGCCGTACATTAGTTTATTGTTTTTCACATTTCTTTCGTCGTTTTTTCCCTTCATACTATTATACTGTATATGCTTGCGTATATGTGCTTTTTTGCTTTTCAATTTGCTAGCCGCTAGGCAGTTTTATAATTTCCAAGCTGCGATTTGTGGAGCTCATTTCGATTTTATGGCCTGCAATTAGGGTCAGTTAGACGCGTAGAAAGTCATTGATGGGTTGTAAAGGTGAAATTTTCGGCAACATTAAATGAAATTGAAAGGTTTTCAAAACAATTAATTGGTGCGCTGTGTAAAGCGGAAAGTAGTGCTGGGCCACCTGTCTCAGGTAATAGTAAAGGTAAATAAGGCTAAAGGCTTTGCTTAATCGCAATTTTTTCGATATTTCCGGATTGTAATCTTAAGAAGCTTTTGAGTTTCTGATTAAATAACTTTTCGTTATTTAGATAGTTCGAAATTCATTAATTTTGAACAATGGTTGAAATGCACCCAAAACTGACACAAACTCGGCGCTCACATTTTGGCGATAAAATCGAAGTACATATTGCGACCCACTAAGGGACAGTGTTCTGTGGACCGTATACAAACTTTCGGCTTATGACTGCTCTTTGTACATTATAACCTAACTTTTTTTCAGTCCAATGAATGAAGTCAGTGTGTTTGACTTCACGACCTTTAATCGTTTCAAATATTTTCTCTGTTGGTATATAGAGCCGCTTCAAGACCTGTTCAGTCTGTATTTCGCGTCCCTAACCCATTTTTAGCTTATAATCGCTCAGCCTACATTATAACCTTACTTTTTTACAGTAATGTTGGTTATCTGGATCTTTAGTCCAGAGACGGAAGTCAATATCTTGGACTTTACCAAAATTATTAATTCCGCTGGGAATCCTGCGAAGAGCTGTTTAGACATTAACCTACGTCTCAATTTAAGTCGTCTTGATCTGATTTATCTTTGTACCTCTTTGCTCAAAACTTCATATGGGATGTCCATAATTTCGTTTCAACACGTTGTTGCACCTTTGCACGCACTTGAGCACCACTGAAAGTTAGAGCTTGAAAGATAGTTAGCGTGTAAGCTCTGATGGACTTTCACAAACGGTAAAACATTTATGTTGAGTTGAGCTCCGCGATAGCGAAGATCTCGGCATAAAATGTGAACAGAAATCGTGGCGCAGAGCTCTTTCTGAGAGCAATCTCTACTTATTTCACTGAGAATGCTGGGAAGAGCTATTCAGGCCTTATCCCGCTTATCCAACCAAGTGATCCTGACCTACGTGCTGATATGTTGTTAAACCTTTGTACCAAAAAGTTATCTACTCTCCCAAATCTTAGCAATCCAGTACAAACCATAAACAGACCATGGAGCTCCGAGCCGGCGCAGAGTATTCTACTTTTATTTGTTAAAAAAAAAAAATACAAAATGTGTGTAATTCCGACTTTGGGTTGCACATAGTTTCTATTATCAGAATAGATTTTTGTCGCCTAACACTTGTCGTTCTGGGAGAAAAACTAGCAGTGGCGCCTAAAAGATCATAAAACATCGCCCTCTCTACGCCCACACAAACCGGCTGGAACCTCCAAACACTTCGCATAACGACCAAATAGACAAAGTGTCTGCCAACGCCCTCAAGAAAATTACTTTATATTCCTACATACATACACACAGTTCCGAGCATGCACTTGCAGCGGCAAATGGGTCACT